TAGATAAAATTGCACAGAAACTCTACTTACCTCCACTGCAATCATGCCAAAAAGAAATGCATTGTGGTTAATATAAATGGTTACTATATATTTTTTAGAAAAGAGAATATAAACCAGGAGATGAGTGATAGTTACAATGAAGTGCATCTCTTATGCAAGCATTGTCTACTATTTATTAAAAATATAGCTCAATATGCATTTAAAATCATAACTTCTCAACTTTTATTTATTATTGATCATAAGAAGTTTCTGATTTAAGAACTATTCTACACAAGACTATTTGAGGTACATTTTTTTTAATGTCATATATTATGAGATGGCAGTAACATAGTTGTGGATATGTAAATTCATAAAGTATAAATTGCATAAATCAAAATTACACAAACCATACCTTCTTGTAAACATAGTGAAATATAGCATAAAGGTTTGTGTGTTACCATAAGTTGTAAGCTATGCGAATGTTACCTTTAAGCTATACCAACAAATGTTGTGATATCAAATATACTGCTTGAGTTTCCATCCCATCACATCTTTAATTTATGATGATACCGTCTCTTCTATTTTTTATACGAAAATTCTTGAAGAAGGAAAAGATCAAACTCAATTGGTTAGAAACTCGTGCTGGTAACGTGTTATGAAATAAAAGTAATTTAGTAAAACATGAACAAGAAATGTTGTTATGAAATAAAAGCAATTTAGTAAAACATGAACAAGAAATGGAGATAGAGAGAAGGAAGAGATTTTTCTTTTCAATTGTGTATATTTATTCCTATCTATTACAAGGCCTTTAAATGGGCATGAAAAGTGAAGAATCACTATTGCAAAATATGTCATTGAACATGTCATTAAGCATTTGAGAGGAAGATCATGGAGGAGGTTATGGAGTTACAATCATAACTCCATAATTATTAGAGTATTGGGAGTTATGGAGATAATGGAGAAGTAGTGGTGTCAAAACGGATAAAAGAAAATATTTATCCACTCATATTATCCTTTAAAAATTTGGTTGGATAATGAACTATTTAAAAATGGGTCAAATATAGATAAAAACCATATTATCCACTTAGAAAATGGATAACCAAATGGATAACTAATGGGTTTAACTTTTACACTTGTAAAGCCTCAAATTGGGGGTTCCTCAAGTTTGGGAGACTAAGAATTCTCCCAAAAGTGATCATACTCAAGAAGCCATGGATAAATGGTTATCCATATTATCTGCCGGTTAACCCGTTTTTTATCCGTATTAAATATAGGTCGGGTCGGATAATTTATCCGTTTTTGTATTACCCGTTTTCGACCCGTCCCATATCCAACCCGACCCGCCCGTTTGCCACTCCTATGAAAAAGAGTAGACATCCACCATAATTTAATTTTCTTATAACACTTTCATTTTCACTCCAAATTTCGGGTACATATCTCCCTGTATCGGTCCATTATCAATTTTCTGCACATGATTGTGACCATCAACCAAAAAACCCTTCTGAGGTATGACGAACAGTAGCTTCACCTATAGGTTTGAACAAGAGCGGAGCTAGGGGTAGCGGAAGGATTCATCCGATCCCCATTCCTCATAAAATTTATACAGTCTATATAAAGTCAAATTTGATTTTTATGTGTATATAGTAGAAGATTATTCATTTGACTTTTTTTGTGTGTTTATCTTTTTATTTTTTAAATTTCCTCGGTGAAAATTTTGCTTCTACCACTGGGTTTGAAGCGTTCATAATGTTAGACTTTTATTATGCTTACCCTTTAAAAACATTTCTCCATCCATTCCAATTTAAATGAAACACTTTCCTTTTTAGTCAATTCCAGAAGAATGACATATTTATATATTTGGAAACAATTGAAATTTAAACTTTTCATTTTATTTATTTTACCCTTAATAAAAAGTTTTTATAGTCCCTAAAATATCATGGTCCCACAAAACTTTTACCACTTAAATTTTTAGGATTACATATTTCAAAAGTCTTATTTTTTACCTTAAATTTTGTGTTAAGTTAAATCCTAGTGACTCATTCACTTTTCTTGGACATTTGCTCATCACTATTGTTGTACCCATTTTTGCGCTATCAACAAGTCAATTCCCATTTCCCAGATGGGTGCAACAAAATTTGAAACGTGCAAGTAAAGCGTTTTTCCCTGCTGTGCTAAACATCTTTATGTCTTAATCACATTTCTAACTCAGTACATATGCACATGAAAGCACAAACTTACCTATAGGCAAGTAGGGGTGTTCCAAATTAGGTTAATATTTTGGTTAATTAGTGATGGGCACAGTAGAGAAACAACCTAGCTAATTAGGGCTAGCTTGAAGTGGGAGTATGAGGCAAAAAATTCCTCCCACAGAAAGGTGTCTCAAATTTATCAAAGACTGGCTTTATAGTCAGCTGTAGATTAGCTGCTTCTCAGTTAAAAGTAGTGAAATGACTCAAACCACTAACTTCTATGAACTATGAAGACATGACATAAATGCAGACAGAATGGAACTACAAGGTGGAAGATGTTCATTCGAATCAATTTTACTGGTATATAAGATAAAAATTTATATATATTAAATCTCCTTATCTTCTTTGTATTATTTTTTTTAAATCTTATTGATGAAAATTCTGTTTTCACCAGTAGGTGCAGACCTTTTTTTTTTTTTTTTTTTTTTTTTTTTTTTTTTTTTGGGTAACATAGTACTGCTTATTAAAAATGATGGTGAAATTGGGTAGACCGGACAAATAAGAACCAGACAATTGCTGCCTCATTCATGTCAGTTACTTCCAGTTTACTCGTTTCATTTAAACAAAAAATTAAAACATTAGAGTACGAGCATAAAAATCTCTAATTTTCTCTTAGTTCAAACGTTTATTTTATATTTTTAAATTAAAATGAGATAATATAAAAAGTACTATAAATTACTGCTTTTTTAGAATTAAATTTATTTGAAAATTATATGATAAGTTTTAGTTAATAGTATACCATATAAATTTGATTCTTAAGATAGTAGTAGTGTCATATAATATGAATTACTATAATTCTTTTCCCGATTAACCATCATTGTCGTGCGTACGAATTTGGTGTATCCTCAATTACGGATTGCGAAACGGAAAAATGAAAAAGAAAGTAGAAAAGCACAACATTTTGTTTGGCCTTTTCCATCCAGAGAAGTTAAAATCAAATTTAAGAAGAGACATCCAAGTCCTGCCCAGAAATCTCCATCAAAGTTACCTTATAATTAGAAAAAGTGGAACATGGGAAGGAATACTGTTAGGTTTCTTTGGCTTTATGCTGCAGAATTTTTAGTACGGTGATTAAGTACTAAATAATTATACTACAAACAATATCAGATAATAAGTAAGAAACGTTAACATATAAGTAATGTATACGAGTAGTTTTTAAGGAAGAATTAATTTAAATAGCCACATTTAAATTAAAAACAATCGGCGTATTTATAATATATGTATGATTTATGTATTATAATCGTATACGTATATAATTTATGTATATATAGTTTAACGGCATTTTTGCATTACATAATCTAATATATGTGTTGCTAATACATAAACGGTTATGTTACATCAAATTTGCTATAAAATATTACAAATATTATCATAGAAATTTTGTAATATTTCGTAACCAAACATTCAACTATTAATATCTAATTTTATGCGGAGATTATTTTCTCTCAAACCTTAAAAGACAAAGCAAATCACAATAATCTGAAGTGGTAAAGAGAAATACGAGTCCTAAGTCCAAAAAGATTAAACGTTCCAAATTAATTTTTCCCTATTATATATTGGTAGAGATGAGATTAAAAATTCTATTTGCAAACGCATTTCCTAACATGATTGATCTTTCCTTTTATCTTTTTTTTAAAATATTATGCTTCCTCTAAGATCCTAAATATACTAATTAATAATTTATTATTTAACCCTTTTGATACNTTATTAAAATAAGATAAGGCTGCAAGGCAGAAATCTTTTGTTAAACCCCATAAACTTGATTTTTGCTAATCTCTTTCCATCAAATGATTAATCTAATTTTTTAAGGGTATCTTTTCATACCTGAACTCCACTACTCCATTTAACTTTTCCTGTTCATTTATATTTATTTTAGAATAAGAAAGATAATTAAAGTCCTCTCATTCATTGGGTCTAGTCAGAATCTCACCCATTGCCAACCTGGGATTCTTTTTATGTCCCCCCTTAATATAATTATGTAATAATACTAATTAAGAGCAGACTCCCAATTTCCTATTTTCTTTTTGTTTTTCAATTAGTACTCTGCACCACTGTAAAATAGATGGACGGAAGCTTCTGCTTCTGGCTTTATTTACAGAACATGAGCTTAACTTTTGTGTATGGTTGGTATATACAATTCTTTTTGCAATCATCAGATGAAGGTAATCTAGAAAAATATGTAACTATCACTAGTAAACCTAATTTGGTAGCTTAAAGAATATATTAAATACAATAATCAGTTAAAATATTTATTAATAATGTAAAAAAAATTGATACTACTGATACTAACCTAGAAAATGTACCAAAAAACTCAAGGTTGATTCTCATATCAAGTTAAATCAATTGTAACTAATCATTCATATAAGACTTTTGAAAGAGAACTAAGGAGCCCCACTCTTACAGCTGGTTACAACATACCTAAATAATCATAACTACAGAAATTTTGTGGTTTAATTGCTGTATAATTTGACATCAACCATAAGCAAATCTTTGAGAAGATTTGAGTGTAACTTGTCAATTGATATGAGATTACTCAGTGAACATTAATGGACAATGTTTCTGAAAATGAAAACTCATAATAACATCTGAATTTCTCATTGCTTTACAAAGAAATATATCTTACAATTTGGTGCTGTTAAAGATTTTGCACCCAAATGTCTCTTCCATCTTGATGAAGATTATACAATAAATACTCATGACTTACCAAAGCAAAAATTAGTACATCCAAATCAATTAATACATTAAGAGGACTAAGGAAAGTAATCCTCAAAACTAAATNATGTGAGACGTTTGATGAGGCCCTGCATCAAAAGAAAGAAAACATACTCATTAATCAAAAGTTCGAAATTTCAACTTAAATTTTGACAAAAATAGAAAAACATAAAAGAAAAGTAACCAAAACTTGCCTCTCTCTTCTTACCAGGAAAACTTTGTGACTGCAATGTCAGATCCTTGTTGGGATTTTGGGTAAATCCCATCTGCACAATGCTTTGCAGGTCATCCTCGCACATTGTAGGGAACTGGATAAATTAAGCAATTGTCACAACTAAATTACTGATGAAAAATGTTTGGTTAACTTGTATATATTGACATTACAAAAGAAATACACTTAACACCTAAAAGATAATTATTAGGTAGTATTTGTCAATGAAAAGTGAAATTGGTAACCTAAGGCAAGTTATCTGTTGTAATGGGTTAAAAGTGCAGTGATAATGTTAAATATTCCTTACACTATCCATGTACATAAGTTAATTCTTGAATTATTGTAGAATGGCTAATCACCTGATTAAGATATTGACCAAGTCCATCTAGGGAAGGCAATTGCATTCCTAGAGTGCGAAACAGTGAGTTATCTAACGTGTTCGCCGAGCATTGGCTTAGTACCCCATTAGGAATATCACTGGAAAGTTGTTGCCGGGGTTGTTGGTAATCTACTGGGAAAACAGGTTGGGGCAGAGAGCCATTTGGTTGACATATCTGGAAAAAGAAATTGCTTTAGCATGTCAGATAATGTCATATAAAAGGAAGCCGTTTCACTATCAGACTATGACACACTTACATCCTTTGGAAGAAGATTTTCTGCTGGAAAATCCAAACTTGGGTTCACTGAAGCCAACTTCATGGATAGGAACTACAAAAATGTTGCATTTAGCTCATGAACAGAAAAAACACATTTCATAAAATTTTACTTGTAAAATTTACCTCGACTTGTCGTTGCAGTGACTGTACATAATTTATAATTTCGTCAAGCATTAATGCTTTTCCTGTCACCTGGTTGACAAAATTTCCACTCTGCGTTAGAACAGGATTTACTATTATTATGCGATAAAAAAGATACAGTAGTAATTTTTTTAAGCTAATTACCTTATTACAGCCTGGTACAAGATCTTGTAAAAGCTTCATTCTTTCACTAATCTTCTCTCGTCGGACCTAATTAGATGCCAAAAGACGACCATTGTTAACACAACAGAACATGCCCTTTCGAATGAACTAGCAATTTCAGGATTCAAGATTTGACATTTTATTTTTCAGAAGAATTGGTTGCAATGCTTACTCTTTCAGCTAGACTATGGCTATCAGTAGCTTGTCCTCTCCTTGCTCTAACATGAATATAGTCCTTTGGTGGCTCAGGAGGCTTTTGATTTTCTATAGTTTGATTTTGAGTTTCATCACCTTCATTGCCCTTTGTTTCCTCCATGTTAACTGTTCCAGTTTCTGTCTCATTACCTTCTACTTGTTTACATCGCTTTGTTCTTGCATTATCATCACCTTCACCTCCCTAAATGAAAATTTGATTAGCCACTAATTGCATTAGTTAAGCAAATCAAGATTATTTTGACTGACTTCATAATAATAATCCTTACCATGTTTCCATTTGCAGGGGCATCTTCTTTTGTTTTCCCTCTTGAAGCTGTTTTTCTTTTTCTAGTAGAATTCAATTCAGTTGGAGTTTTTGGCCCTGTTTCTCCACTTGGCTCAGAAACAGGCTCATTAGAATTAGTGACAGGCCTGCACAAATTTGTAGACATCAATTCCATCCTTGTTTGGCCCGAATTCTTGATTTGCAAAGGGGATCCAGCTTGCTTCAAAGAAGGGCTACTCGAAACTCTAGGCAACTTTCCATTCCCCAATTGTTGAGCATATCTATGTGTCAATTCCCCCCATGGACTTGTTCTACCGTTAAAACTACGGCTACCAAAACAAGAAAATTTAGCAGCTCTTTGGGCAAAACCAGGATCAGCAGAGACAGCAGGCAATGGAACAGGAGGAGGATTTAAAGGAAGTGAATTTCCCAAATTGGGCATTTGTAATTTCGGTGTAGTGTAACATGAATTATTAGTATTATTATTGTTGAATGGCGGTTGAGGGGAGCTGCAAACTGTGGTCACTTTACCAATTAATTCAGCAGGGGAAGAAGACACTATTGAGTTCAAAGTTGAGTCAAATTGATGTGTAGAGTCGTGATCCCAATTGGGGTTGAGGAAAAAATCAGAAGACTGCCCTGAATGTAGGGAATTCCAGTTAGAAGGGAATGTCATAGTGGGTTCGAATTGAAGGGGCGGATTAGTAATTCCACCATTCATGAAGTAATCTTTCTCCATGGAATAGAAATCAAAAGTAGCTTTAAGAAAAATGTTGCTCAATAAGAGATGTTAACTTGAAAGAGAGAAAGAAGAGGAAAAGGGGGAGGAGAAGAAAATGAGAGAGATGGAAGTTATATAGGCGGAAAGATAAAAAAAAGGTAGTTTTGTTTGACCTTTTTTCGTTTGTATATTTAATTGAAGAAAAATGGTACTACTGTGGAACCGGGAAAAGCGGAGAAGAGGGGTGAATTGCCGGGCCTTCAACGTCGGAGGACCGATTTTACATTTTACCAGTTTTTCCTAACTCGGCTTTCATAGAAGCTCTCGAGTCTCTTCCAGCTAGAGTGCTTACTGGTCTAGTACTAGAAACTTGAATCCATTTGTGATTTTTTTTTGACACGTGAGACGAAAATGTGTGTTTAAAAAAAAGAGTGATATTTTTATATATATCGCTCTTTTAAAGAGCGCTATATTTTAACGGAGTTTTGACCGTTAAAGTATAGCACTCTTTATATATATAAAACACTCTTTTAAACCGCGCTATACAGGACTGATAATACAGCTATGTATAGCGCGGTATATAACCGCGCTATATATATAGCGCACGCAGTTATATACCGCGCTATACATAGATAAATAAACGGCCCCCCTCCTTCTTCCCCACACTCAAACCAGACGCCCCCCTCCCCCAAATTAAAAATT